ATGTTCACAGACTAGTAGCCAGTCAACAACTGGACAGAAGTTGTGAATAAATGCCTGAAATCAGTAAGATTAACATTTTGTGTGTGTTATGGGGAGAAACACTTAATGTTCAGGTCCTTTATAAGTTTCTTTTCTTTTCTTTTTTTTTTTAAAGATTTGTTTTTATTTATTTATACAAGCACTGGGTACAGTCAGAAACGCGGGAGGGTGAGAGAATTCACCAGAGCCAGAGCGGGGAACAGAACAGGCAGACTGACGAAATACACTGCTGAGGGGAGCAGCGGGCGACAGGAGAGGTCTGCGCGCCATGTGGGACCCTCCTCCGGTGGCCGGGGAGCAGCTGGGGATCAAACCGGTGCTGCAGAGGCTGCGGGCAGCTTCGCAACCCAGTGCTCAACCGCTGCGCCACCAGGGAGGCCCCCCCTTTATAAGTTTCAACTAATCTATAATTTCTGCTGGACTCTATTGAGTTTCCAGTGTCCTAAAGCATAGTCTCAGGATAGTCCAGCAGTGTGTAAATAACTTGGAATCTCTGCAGGATACTCTCTAGCTAGTCTTCTTCTGTTCTTGTACACAGCAACAGATAAGAATATGCTTGGCCAAACCAGAATACAAACTCAGACTGGTATTTAAGCTCCTATAATCTCTTTCATGAGCAGATTAAGCAGAGTGATCAGGACCTCAAGTATGAAAAATAGGAAAATTTGTTTATCATAAAAAGTCTAAAAATCCTAAAAATAAGGGCCTCCCCTGGTGGCGCAGCAGTTGAGCGCTGGGCTGTGAAGCTGTCTGCAGCCTCTGCAGCACAGGTTCAATCCCCGGCTGCTGGCGAGGGTTGTGCTTTTGGCGCCACAGACCTCTCCTGCCATGCCTGCTGCTCCCCTCAGCAGTGTATTTCGTCAGTCTGCCTGTTCTGTTCCCTGCTCTGGCTCTGGTGAATTCTTTTACCCTCCCACGCTTCTGACCGTATCCAGTGCTTATATAAATAAATAAATAAATCTTTTTAAAAAAACCTAAAAATAAAGTAATTCAATGACCTTGACATATTTGAGGTTTCAATATGAAAATGTACATGCTCTAATTAACTTCTTATGTTCCTATTTTTATAAATTATAGTGTTTTACTAAATAATTTTTTTAAGCAGTTCATTATGCTTTTCCTAGATTTCATTTGTTCTTTTCCTATATAGCAAATCATTATGATCTGTTTATAAACTATACTTAGGTATTATTTTTCTAACAAGTTGTTGATGTATGAAATTAGGAAATTATAATAACCTTGAGTTCAGAGAAATTATAAACTAATGGAGAAGTTAAGCATATAAAACCAATTAAAATATTAGCCAATAACAAAGAAAGTGAATTATCTTTTACAAAACCATCTGAGAATTTTTATTTTATTTCACAAAATGTGTTCGCTCCAACACATTTTAATACAAGCAGCATCTGCTGGTTTCTTGTGTGTAGAGACAGAAGTAAAAAAAAAAAAATCCTGAAAACTTGTAGAAAACGCCAACAATAAATTTTTTGTAAGCCAATATCTATTCTCAAAGTTGTCCCATATTTTTCAATATATACCTCTACAGCATTCTATTTAATCCTGCAAAGACCTGGTGTTTTTTGAAATCTTAATTTGGTACTTAAAGAAAGGTTAGCTATACCTTTTTGGGGACAAGATCATTTCCAACATTCTGTGTCTAAGAATACCAAGAAAACATAAACTATTTCCAAGATATCAACTAAACAATTGTTAGTTCACCGTTATTTTCAAGGAAATAAATATATGTGAAAGGGTGGCTTCATAGTGACACACTCAATTCCCTATAAATTTCCCAATGAAAGAAGCTCTATAGGGTAGATTCACAATGAGATGAAATGAAAGAAGTGGGATTAGGCAGAAGTCAACTGATGTTAAAATGTCCAGCACAAGGTGAAAATAGTCCTTTGATTGGAGATAGTAGAGTTTGGAATTCACATATTTTCACAAAAATGAACAACTATTTCAGGAAAGCTACTTCCTTTTGTTGATTTGACAGGATTCCATTTTGTTGAATGAGATGAGGAAAAAAGGAAAGGAAGAGTAATACGTAACTTCTGTACCAATCAATACAAACTAATTTATGGTGTTACAACAAACTAACTCCAAATTCTCAGAATCTGAAATCAACAAACAGTTCCTGCAGGTTCGATGCAAGGTCTATGCTAATCATGGCAACTGAGGCAGATGGAGGGCCCATTTTACCACTTCCTTTCATCACTTTACCACTTTCACAGGAGGGGGATCAGTGAATTGTGTACTGGCTGTTAAAACTTATACCTGACAGTGCCACACACACTTCCATTCACATTTCCTCAACCAAAGAAAGTCACAGGGCAACCCTAACTATAAGAGTAGGGGTGTTCAATCCAACCACGTACTTGAAAGGGTACTCAAAATGTTATGAATAGGGCCTCCCTGGTGGTGCAGGGTTTGTTAAAGTTTCAGCGCTATCAAGCTATTTTGCCAGCCACCAAGACATGAGTTTGATCCCCGGCCAGGGAGCTAACCCACATAGTGCAACAGACCTCTTCTGTCTCACCCATTGCTCCTCTCAGCAGTATTTTAGTTGATCTGCCAGTTCAGCCGACAACCCACACACACACCTCTGGCCTACAACCCAGTTCTCGTATGCATAAATAAACTGAAAAAATATTTTTTAAAAATGTTATGAGTAGCTCAATTACAACTTGAACTCTTCATGCAACTTACAATTTAATGAGGGGGACTGAATATTCTGTCAATACGAGAAGAGATATGATAAAGGGCTGAAGAGTACAATGATAAAATACATTGGTGATTACAATGAAAATATTAATAATGTGTGTTTTGTTAATTTATTATTTCTCCATATATAATTCTAAGTACTCTACATGGTACTAATGCATTTGATTCTCTAATTCTATGAGGTAGGCAGGTCTGTTAGAAGGTCACTTCATAGATGAGGAAACTGAAGCATAGAGAAATTAAATGATTTATATGTCTGGTTCTTGAACCTGGACCCTTAAATACCACAGGAAATAATAGTCTGTTGCCTTAATAGTGTGAATTTCAACCTTTGCTTTTAATTTACAAGATTTCCCTTCATCTAAAAGCTTACTAAAAATCTTAATATAATAACTAATCTGAGTGAAGTATCTTTGGTTAAAGTGAGGGAAAGGGGGTGGAGACCTTCTTAATTGGGACAGCATTTATTGTCTTCTAGCTAAATATCTTGAAGAGAGGCATTAACACAGAAATTCTTGACATTTATTTGCCAAAACTATTACTATTTAATATGACCTTTCATATCCCCATACTTTAGCTAACTATATAATTATAACCATTGTTATTGTGACATTATAAAAAGGAAAAATAGAAAGTCTTGATATACAGTCAATTGTCAAGCTGAAATGGAAGACAATTTTTTAATTTCTAAAATTCAATATTAAAAAAGGATTATCAACTACTTGTGTGCAAACACATCCAGGATTAAATGGACAATCTTCCAAAAATGGTGAAAAATACTATTTTATCAGTTAATTATTAGCTAGCTGGATAATCTCTCATTCTGTAATGGGGCCAAAACCAGTTATATGCCAGTGCCAACAACAAAAGGAAATTTAAATACCCTATATATTCTATGAAATCCATGCACCTGTAGGTAGTGTTTGCTCTTCTAAACTTAAATGTGCCCCTAATTATTCTCTCTTTATTAACATTTAAATGAAAAACAAACAATACTATGTAGTTTTCTAACTTCTCCACAACTAAGTGCATTCCCTAAAATTGACTAGATTTAACAAAAAAATTGAAGTTAATGTATACAATATTTCTTCTCAGAGTACAATATTTAACTTTAATAGTCACCACTTCCTAATATTTTAATGAAATAAATACTTGAAAACACCACCACCTCATTTTTCAGTCACCTATAGTATAAATATTAGGCATCCAAATTTACCTTTAAAATACTTAGGTAGTACGATGGGATATGAGAAATGATTTAAATAAATGAATACAAAATAAATAAATACCTATAGTGTACATCTTTTATACATGCCCTTTTTCGCCACACATAGAGCAATGGTCATTCACTGAAAAGTTTCATTTTCTATTGTTCACCTTTAACAAATCTCATGAAGATTTTAATGCACTTCAGTCTTATCACATATAACATATTTTTAGACTACATAATTGTAACTGGACATCAGAATGCTTTAAACTATAGTTTAAAATATTTAATTTCCTAGAACACTTACAATTCTACCAATAAATTAATTAGTAAGTAGAAACTGAAAAGGCACTTAGGGTTTAGGTAGCAAAATGGATACTATTTCAAATGTAGTCATTCAACATTTAACATTAAATTTAAAAGCATAATAATTTGACTCATGGAAAGAAAGAATAGTATAAAATGTTTCCGTTAAAGTGCCCTTTATACTTGAAACCTTCTAAAATACTCCTTGGAGAAGTTTTACATCAGACATAATGTAAAGCAAATTATACTGAAAAGAAAACAAAAACAAACTCATTTCAGACATTGTTGGCTTTTCAAATCTTTTCTTGAACTTGCCACAAATGGGACTTTTGTTTTTGAGTCATTCCCTTTTAAATGCTTCTATATCATTACCTAAGACACTTAAAATTCCTCATTTTTCTTTTATTTAGAGTAGTTTGTTCTTTCATGGAAATCTGGGCACAGGATACTTAGCATTTGTGCTGGGCAATGAGTTTCCCTAACAAAGTAGTTACATTTGCTTAATCAGACTTTTTAACTCCCAAGAAGTCTATGTTCTCTGTGCCATGGTTATGAAACTAGCCATTAGATTTTTTTTTTTAAGATTCTGCAAGCATCTTCATATATGTGTTCCTGTACTGTCGTTTACATAAAACATAATAACAATATTGTCATTGTTCCAAAATTTTACTAAGCTTCCCTACTGTCATTAAGGACTCTTCTACAAAGTTTGAAATACTCAGACCTTAAGAAATGTTTTTCCTGCCATCCAAATGGCCACCACTGCTGCAGCAACAAATGCCATGATCTTCAATATTTCTGTCTCTAAATCTCCAAAGGGTAACATCTGAACAGAGAATAAAAGGAGTAAAAATTAAAGAGCATGAAATGAGTTCTATTTTGAGTTCTACATTGAGTTCTATATTGAGAATGAGCTCTATTAGGTGTAACTGAAAATTTACAGTGAAATGGAAAAATAATTCAAAATTTATTCTTAATCTAATTTTTTTTCACTAATTGAGCATTACCATGTTTAATTTCTGAGTTTTTCAACTCTAAGTTAATAAGGTGCCAAAATAAATGAATTTGGCATTGAGGAATGTCACTATCCTTTATTAGGCAAACTAGAAATTTAGCAATCTTTTTAACTCCCCTTTGATTTATTATGTAACATAGCAGTTCTTTAATATCACTTGATTTTTTTTTCAATCTGACCTCTCAACTGCATTGTCATATGTGTTTCCTGCTCTCTCTAAGGGAGGTGATATAGATTAATGAGTTTGAACTCCACAGATTAATACTCTATAAGTAGCAATCATTTTTTCAATTGGTATTATTTCACTATTTCAATTTTCTGAAATCACTTGGGGTCCATACTAACCTAGAGGGATGACAAACAATAAAATTAAGTTAGAACAGCCATGATGTAAATTTTCACATAACCTTCAGAAATATGAGTATCAATTTCGTTAAGATTAAACCAAAGACGAGCTGACTGCTGCCAAGGCAGAAAGACAATTTGTTCTTTAAAGGATCTTTCAAAGCTCTTTCCCTAAGGCTTGCCCTCTAACTAAAATCATGCCCAGGAGATAAGCGGAAGCCAACAAGATACACTGCACAGAAGAGCAGAATGTTTACTGAAATTTGATCAAAGAGAATCAGACTATTTTTTAACAGATCAGTGTGACAGCATTGGTGATGCAAATTATTCTAGGATGGTAGTGTTACAATGATTGTAGCAGTCTGCATAGAATCAGAATTTGCTAAAACTGAATGTGAACATGTATTTTAGAAACATAGGCAGCACATTGTTAGAAAAGGAAACAAATTCAATACTTAAAAATACTCTATATGAATATTTTACATTACTGAAAAATACATTAAGCATTATAACATCACAAGTATTTCTAATGAAAAAGGACCCTCAAAATTTAGCTTTTGTTCACCTGTCATGAAAGTTTCCAGGTATTATAACCTTGTTCTAGGATAGCCATATAGTAGTAATAATAAGAATAACCTGAAGTAACATGCAACATTTTTGCAAACACTTGTAATCGTTTACACAGTGTAGTCATTTGTAAACAAAAAAATCCACTTTTTAAAATACACCATTAATAATAAGTAACAGTTATCATATGTTTACCATGTAACAAAGTGATTTAAATATATTGTTTAATTTCATCCTCACAACAAGGAAAGACACACTTCTCAAAAATGCATGTTTACTGAAATTCTCTCTCAAAGAGAGATTTGACTAATTTTATATCACATTATACAATTTTATTAAAATAAGATAAAATAATGTTACTATGTGCACTATGAATGTATAGTAGAAAAAATAAATAATTAATTCTAGTCATAGAGGGTATAAGAATGGCATATCAAACCTTTGAGTTTGTTCTCAAAGAGCTACCAGAGAGTTAAGTTCTTAATTATCATATGATCTGATCATGTGAATATTCATTACAATAGAAATACTCTGAATAGCTATTTAGGCAATAGTCTCAAGCTAAAAAAAGCAGAAAGATAATGTAAAAGGCTTTTAAAGTACAGTCTTTGAGCTGCAAATGACCATTTTCTGTTTTCTGAGATTATTAATATATTCAAATCAAATCATAAGCATTTATTTATATTCTGTAGATTTCCAGGAATCTACAGCTAAGAGCAAATATAACACATATGAAAGGAATACAAAAGAAAAAAAAAATACATGTTTAATACTTAAGTCAGGTTAAATGGAAATAAAAGCACTGTCAAGAGAAATGATATTCATTCCTCATTAAATGATACAACCAACTAAGCACTATACACAAAGTAAAGAGAATTCAACAGGTAAATTTTGTCAGAAAGGAATTTTCATTAAAAGAAAGTTTTAGAAGAATGCACAAGAGTAGAAAAAAGCAGAAGGATATTACTAATGGTAAGAAAAAGTACATATGGAGATTTGTAGCCTATAATAAAAAAATGTGATAGAGCAATTTTAGTTACGCATGATTTGTGGATTGTTTTTGAACTGGTGGGAAAAAAAATGACTAACATAGTTTTATAAAGGCATTTTTAATTTTAAAAAGGTATGAAGAAATTTGTAGAAGAGTAATGATATTTTTAGGTTTACATAAAAATATTGGGATAATATTCTTATATTGGGATTTATACCCAACTGTTCCTTGATCTGAACTGTCAACATAAATTCATAAATGCAAATTAATAATCAAGCATAATGTCCACCAATTTCTTCAAAAGTTTACATACAACAAACAAAACTTGAGTTTTAATGGTCTCATGGAATTAACTTTGAGCCAAATAGAGGCATTTTCTAATATACCTAAAGTAATATGTGAAAATATCACTATGGAAAAAAGAAATATGAATCAAGTTTTTTAAAGATGGCATTATTTTGAGTAGTAATTTTTTAAAAGATTTTATTTATTTATACACAAACTGGGGTATAGGTCAGAGGTGCTGGAGGGTGAGAGAATTCACCAGAGAGTGGGGAGCAGAACAGGCAGACAAAACAAAGACACTGCTGAGGGGAGTAGGGAGCGAGGCAGGAGAGGTCTGCCACACCTGTGGGTTTCTCCCTGGTCAGCTGGGAATCTAACCTGCATTGCAGAGGCTGCAAACAGCTTCACAGCGCTGCACTCAACCCGTTGCACCACCGGGGAGGCCCAAATAGTGAATGTTTTTGAAAGTAAATTTTGAGAGTGTAATGTGACCTGCTAAAATTAATAATGCTAACATAACTCATTAAGCAAAGATTTACTGAGTATCTTCTTTTGCCCCAAACTAGACTTCAGGAACATATGGATAGATATTAAAGGCCCCCCCTCCCCTGAAGTTTATAATTTAATGGAAGGAACAAACATATATTTCCTAAAAAAAAGTCAAGTCTCATTTTTAACAATTGTTTGAACAATTATCATAGAAGATTTTGCTTGATTTGGAGATGGCTTTCAGACCCAATCTAAAATTGACATCAGAAGAAGTTTTGGTAGATATTTGGTAGCAATTTTGAAAAAGAAAAATAAGTGGTAAGAATCAGTCTACTTAAGTTAAGTCAAAATATAACTACAATAATAGAGAAGATGTGATATTGATGAAGAAACAGAAACATAGATCTGGAACAGAATGGAAAATCAAGAAGATAGGCACACACAAATGCATAACAGTATTTTTTTTTAATTAAGATAATGTTGTTAGAGCAGATTAAGGTGGACTGCAAAACTGAGAGTAGAGATTTCCATATATCATCAGTACTTACATATTCATAGCCACCCCATTATCAACACCCCTAACAAAGTGAACCTATATTGACACATTATAATCACTAAAACTCCATAATTTACATTGCAATTAACTGTTGGTATTTGACATTCTACAGATTTGGGCAAGATTATAAAGACATATAAGTGCCATTATGATAACTACACACTATTTTCATTGTATGAAAAATCCTGTGTTAAGCTTATAAATCACTTTCACCACCATAAAACCCTGGCTACCACTGAACTTTTTACTCTCTCCATAATTTTGCCTTTTCCTGAATGTTAAAGAATTGGAAACATACCTTACGTGACCTTTTCTGATAGACTCCATTCAATCATCAATATTCATTTAAGTCTTTGCATAGCTTGTAGGCTGATAACCTTTTAGCAATGAATTATACTTTATTTTCTGGATGTTCCACAATTTTATTTATACATTCTCCTATTGGAGGACATCTTGGTTGCTTCCAAGTTTTAGAAATAATTAAGAAAGTCGCCATAAACGTGGACAGGTTTCTGTGTGGACATAAGGTTTCAATTCATTTGGTTAAATACCAAAGAGCAGAATTGCAAAGCTGTATGCTTTCAATGTATGTTTTGTTCTGTAAAAACTATTAAACTGTCTTCCAAAGTGGCTACACCATTTGAATTGCCAACAGCAATGAGTGAGAGTTTCTTTTGCTCTGTTGAGAATTCTAAGGTTCTTTGTCTGAATTGGATCAATTGTTCTTTCACTGACACAGACACAGAGCAGCAATGTATAATCAGGGATTATAAATGTAGTATACATAGTATAATAAATAGGTGTCTACTAGTCTCATAAAAGCTATTATTTCTAATATTCTCCATCATCAAGATGAAGAGTGAAAATTATCACCATATTATAGCTGATATAACTGTAACAAACTCAAAAAGGATAACCATGTTGAGGGCATCATCTCTTTAAATAAAGTTAAAATCAGACCTAGAGAATCTGTAGTCAGAGATGCAAACATGGGGGAAAAAATCATAATTTTTTGACTAAATTTATATATTTATTTCTGAATGTTTAAATGAGACCAGGAGCTGAATTTCAGTTATTTACATTTTCTTTCTGAGATCCTATTTAGTGATTATTTTATTTTCAAATGTTGAGCATAGTATTTAAAATTCATAGAATTAGGTGGGTAAAATTATATAATTATATACAAACATGTAAAGACTATTATTCAAAAATGAACTAAAAGAATTTCCCAAGTGTTCACTTTAACTTTTGTCTTCTTCCCTTTGTTTACCTGTTAAATTAGGCTACTGGAAACTGGAGTTGCTCATTCATTACTACAGTCTTAACAGGTAGAATGCTAAGGATCAGAGAAAGGTCACGTAGTAGGTAACTTTTCAAAAGAGTAACCTCACTCCTTTTTTCTTGAGGGCAAAAAAAAAATTGTTTTCTTTTTATCCAAAGTAGACCTAGAATCTCTTCCTTTACATATATTCAGAGCCTGCTACTTGGATTGGTATATATACGTTGGTCAGTCTGTCGGTCTGTCTGTCTGTCTGTCTATCCAGCTATCTATTTATAGATGTAAGTTTTTCTTGAGAGTGTATTTCTTTTCCCTAACTGATCATAAAGCCAGATAAGTGAGTGAAATAACCAAAAAATAATTTACAAATATTCTTCACATAATTTTATTAGCTGTATAAGTGCAATTTACATTTTACTTTCAAAAAATATGTATTATTAAGAATTATACTCAAGTCAGTTAGGTCACCTTTTTTTCATTTTTCATTTCATTTTTGTTTCATTTCACTTATCACCCATAAGTCATATCACTTGGATTAAATGATATTAATAGATTAATTAAGGGATAAGATCTATCTAAAATTATGTTAACCATACTCTGAGTACAAATTTGCATATATTTGAAAAATCTGAATGTTTACACTACGCAATTGAAATTATGTATGTTAATTATGTCAAATTATTAAAAATCTAAAATTATCACTATAATTTCATAAGCCATAATATTTCATTAGATACAAATCTATGTATTTTTTTTTTCTCATGACACTATTGAATTAAAAAAGTCAACCTATATGCCCATACACAGATGACTGGATAAAGTAAATGCATATATGCCCAATGGAATACTACTTGACTATATAAAGGATGAACTGCCATTTGAGATAATATGGATGGACATATAGGGTATTATGCTTACTGGAATAAATCAAGTGAAGAATGACAAACACCCTATGATTTAATTCATATGTAATATATAAAGAAAAAAAGGTGAACTAAATAAAGCAAAAATAAACATCCTGACTATAACATTCAGCCAAATTAGTGGCTAGTAGAAAGGAAGAGAGGAGGGTTAAGTAAATAAAGGTTTTAATTATATGGTGAAGGATGGAATTAGATTTTTAGTGGTGAAGATAATGTAATATTCATGATGTTGATTTATAATAGTTAACCAATATAATTTCAATCTTTTTTAGAAAAGTAAATCCTACAACCAAAGTCAAAACATTTAATCATTTTAATATTTTATAGATTCAAAATGTATAGATATATTAAATCTCAAAATTAAGTCTCTTTAGAACACTCTATTCTGTAAGAAAATAAAATGATCAAATTTCTCTCTTCTTATCCTTTCCAATAGAGAAAATTTAGAGTGAGAAAACTGAAACATTCAGTACAACTGTCTTACCTACTAGATATTATAGCTATTAATGTACATTTTCTTTTATTTTTCAAATCATATTAAGAATATATGGTAGTGAAAAAAATTAACACGAATTTGTCAGAGACTATTTTTCTAAACAATCATTCTACATCTAATATTTTCCCCAGACTTTGAGTCCATTATATACAGAGGAAGCCAATGATTAAAATATAAGTGTACTTCATACTGTTTAAATGTTATTCAACAATAATGTACACAACTAAGGAATAGCAAAAAAAAACTGTGAAGTTCATTCTGAAACTTTCTGTTTATCAACAGAAAACATGTTTAACTTTTTAGAGGAATACATGCTATTTACTGAATTTTAAGTCAATTATTTGTTATCAATATACTTTTACTTGTTATTGCCAATTCCTTTTAACATAAAAGTAATATTTTAAGAAAAGGATGAAGATAAATGTGCCTAAATCACCCATTTAGAAGAGAACCAGAGGTCATAGGCAAAGAGCTTTCATAGACCCTTCAACTAAAATAGGAATGAATTAACATTAAACATAATGGCAAAATACCACCTCTTTGGAGCTTACAATGGTTAAAAAAAAATAAAACAGGAAAAGACTCTATAAAAGCATGAACACAGTTTTAAAAAACCTTCCCACTTTCTACTGCAGAAAACATAAATTATATACTTTGCAACCAGCTGTAATGGTAGGCAAAGGCAGCTGGTCCAATTTACTGTATAGTACTATTGTACATATTGTTTGATGCACAAATTACTTATAATTTCTAGAAGTGCATCTTTGCAGTTTGATATTTTTAAGCAGCACTCCAACAACTTGAGAAGTTGTAGACTTCTGGTGAGGCTAATTCTGAAAAATCTTTACCATTGCTGAGTGTGTTTTTCCACATCATGGTTTACAATAGTCTATTTTATATGTTCAAAAAAGTAAACAGAAGTGCATGATGTTTTCCATAGACTTCAGGAAAGAACTTACAGAAATTTTGATGATTTTTATGTTCTGCTTTTAGAAATTAAATCTTTTAGCTGTGTCCACTGCAAAAGTCTATCAGCACCTCAAAATTCTGTCATCATCACAATTAGGAAAGAGAATTCAAAACTTCAGAGACTATCAAATTTGGGTCATATATATTGAAAATAATTTATTAATTTGAATACAAAGTTAAATTAACTTTGAGAAAACTGGTTTTCTCAAATCAAAGATCATAAGCAAACACTTAGATAAAATCAAAAGGTCATCTTTCCTGGTGTGGAATTATAAGGGTACTGGGTTGTGCTATTCCCCCAGTATATGAATTGGTCTTTTCATATGTGTCAATGTGTGGAAGGGAGGTTAAAAATTTCCTTTCTGTCTTTTAGCCCTTTGCCACTGCAAGCCAAAGTACCCTAAGATGCTTCTCCTAACGTGAGTGCAAATTTTTTTTTTTTTTTTTTTTTTGGTTTCTATAGCTCCATAGCCAGCCTACACACCACTGCTACCACAAAACAATACCCAGATTTATTTACCCTTGATGGTGTGATTTCCAATCTGCTGACATTAGCTTCTCTGACTGAATTCCTATTGTTCTCTTGTAATGAAAGTCAGAGGTAATATGTCAATAAATGGAACTGCAAAAATTCTATAAACTGACATTGAGTGGACTTCAAGTTTTTATCAAATTTTTTAGGACCTTGTTCTTAACTATGCCCTTTGGACTTTAAAACTTACTTCATTATCCTTTGAAAATCTAGGCAGAATCAAATGAAGATTAACTCCTTACACATCACAGACTTCTTCAGTTGACTTTGGTCTTAAGTTATAAACATTTTATTTTTATTCACCTTACAAAACACTTCAAGTACTGACATTAGCTTTACCTTTACCCCTTCACAAAAAAATTCTCAATAGCACTACAAAGGAATAGAAATATAGGACCATAAGTTTACAAAGTTATAACCAAGTTTATAGATATGACTGTTCCACCTTTTGTATAATGTTTAAATGACATTCTAGATTTTCATGACTCACTCTCATACCCAAATATTAAGTTGTATGTATGGTTTCTCAATTTGAAAGTACAATGATATCACACACTCAACTGAAATTCTAAACTCTGGCTCCTCTTTACTAAAAAAAACCTTCTTCATAAATGCTCATGTATCAGAGAGCACTACCAAAAATCAGTTTCTTAGCTTAAAATATTGGACATCGCCCTACATTATTATTGACATAATAAAGCACTACCATTAGGTGGCTTAAACAGCACATTCTGGAAGACAGAAATTAAAAGATCAAAGTGTTGGCAGAGTGGGCTTGTCTGAGTTCTCTCTCCTTGTCTTATAAGTGACTTTTTACTGTGTTTTCAAGGAATCTTTCCTCTATTTTCAAATTTCCTTTTCTTTGCAAACTGGTCTATTTAGATTAGGGACTACACCTAGTATCATTATTTTAAATTAGCTGAAGATTCTATCTCCAAATACAGTCTTATTCTAAGGTACAGGAGTCTACAATTTTAACATGAATTTTGGTAAAACATATTCTTAATCTCTCCTTCATCCTCACACTCGTATCTTTAATCAATCACCAAGTTGTTCTGCTGATTCCATTATATGTGGCTTGAATATGTCTATTTTTCTCCATCATACTGTGTTAACCTAATCTCTGACAGCATCAGGTGTCATTTAGATTTCTGCAAATACTCTTAGTTTTATTCTGTCCGAATCACTTCTTCATATTACAATGTGAATGCTCTTTCTGAAATGCAAACCATATTATACCAAAATAGTGACTGTAGTAAGTACTGTTTGGAGTTCTGTTGAGCTGCCAAGTGTGAGAGGAGCCCATTAAATAA